AAAAAAAAAAACAAAACAACAAAACAGAGCTCAGTGGCAAATACGGAGGATGGAGCCCATGCCGCCTGCCAGCAGAGAGCCATGTCTTAACCCATGTCCTGACCTATAACCCCGCCCCAGAAATTACAATTAGCAGAATGGTCTACATAGTTTGTCACGGTCCCGACAAGATCAAACCGGTCAATGTCCTCATGGAAACAGAACAAGGCTTCGGTTCATCATTCGTTTCCAAGCTGTTGCCTTACTTCCACAACCTTTCTCAGACGCTACTGCCCCGGAAAAGCCTTGCATGCTGTGGATACACTTTGCTAGCCTTGGACTAAGCACCAGCTCCCAAACGCGCTTTGCTGATGCACGATCGCCAGTCTGCCAGATACTGCCAGCCTGTGCGCTTGGGCACCTCCTCGTCCACCGGGCTTGGAGGCGGTCCACACAGCAAGCGCTTGGCCTCCCAGAGCCAGGTTTGGACGGCTTGGGGCTAAGAATGACATAGCCTGGCTTCAGGTTTTGGAACGTGGTAGCTGCATGACTGTGGACAACAACATGAGAGAGGAATGCGTACTGTACAGGAAGTCATGATTATGATTATGGGCAGGGCAACGGGTGGAGGATGAAAAGATGAGCTAGAGCCTGACTGATCTCCTGCCCCACACAGCCCCCCACTGTTTGGTCTTCGTACTCTGCTTGTAAAAGTGTTTTTTTTTGCTCGGATGCGGGCAGCCGGGCAGCTTTAAGCAAAGGTTGGGGTGGGACACCCCCAAGTTATCAGGATCTGCATTATACGGAGACACCCTCTGTCAGAGCTTTTGACATCCCTGCGCCCGTCCTGCTCAATGCACCAGTCGCCCACAATCCCCACAGGGTAGCCTTCCGAGGAGGTGAACTCCAGCTTATTAGCTTCAGAAGTTTGCTCAAAGTGTAAAGAAATCTTTGGGGCGGGGCGTTGATGCTACAAGTAAATTCCTGAGATGAAACTGGGCGACAGAGTGCCTGCTTGGCTCCACCATGTCGTCAAACATCATTTCCTCAATGGCCAGGCCTGCTAAGATTGACACGATGGGCCCACAGATGATGATCAAGCGGCTCATCTTCCTTGGGATGCTCGCGGGGCAGCTGTACTGAAGGCTGCCACAGGAAGTCTTGGGCAATAATGACGGCAGGCCCGAAGGGGCCTCTGAAAGCTCTCTACACATATGAGCTGCTGCAACAGCTTAGAAAGACTCGATGCCGCAACAATCAGCCTCTTTGATAAAAACAGTTGGACACCAGCCGCTTCTGCTCATGTCATGTGGGAATACAGCCCTTGCACGCAACCTGAACTGCCCAAGATTCAGGGAGAAATGGTAGGCAACAGCTGCAAACCTTGGCGCAACGGCTTCTAGCACTATGGGCATCCTTCCATCTGTAAAACTGTTGGTACCATGCAAACAAAGCATTGAGAGGTTTTTGGAGCGTTTCCCCTCGACCCAATCATCCTGATTTTGCTGTTCCCTGGGCATGCAGGCAGTCAGAAACTGTTGGAGGAATACTTCCGAAAAGCCCATGCGACATCAGAACGCAGCCTGGCTCGCTAAAGACTGCATCAGGCACAAATGCATTAGCCCCACTTCGAACCATCCATGCAGCGTAGCTCCCAGCATCCTTTTTGCAAGCATAATAAGACTGAGCTAAGGGGAGCCGACAGCTTCAGGCTTTGGCCTATAGAAATTCTGCGAAATAAGTGGCGTTTGCTGGCTGGCAAGGGGCTTAACAACAATCTGCAAGTCTGAGAGTGTGAAGTGTAATCAATACAGCATTGAGGAGCCAACTTGCTCTGGAGTGTGTATTCACCAAGCATCGGCATCCTGAAGTGCCAAGATGAGCCATGCCTACAAAAATTTACAATGCTTTGGGTGAGGCGTGAAAGGAAGTTGTGGCTACTGAGTATTAGACTTGCTGCTGCTTCAATCAGCAGCTGGCCAAGGTTGCCCATAAGCCGAAGCCCCTTTCGGCAGACAGGGTGCCCCTCGCTCTCTGGCGCTCTCTTCGGAGCGGAGCGGTCCCCGAAGTCCCATGGGGGCATGCTCAAAATTGGGTCGACGCTGGGTTGCACTTTTCATACTGTTTCTCAGTGCAGCTACGCAAGTGCTGCGATAACCAAAGAATCATGTGCCATTGTCTCGACTGCTGCAGGTCGTCCCGAAAGCTTTCAAACAGTTGACCTATGATGCCACAGCACCTTTCTCAAAGCTGCTGGTGGTGAGCTTGGTACCGGCGGAAGTGTAGAGTGGATAGTCAAGGTACATGTCACACCCAGCAACTTTTCCTACTACGATGCCATCGGCGACTCTTCTGAGTCAGAGCTGCCAGAGTCTGAAACTTCACTGGGCCCTGGCACAGGCTGGATGATAACACCCTGCACGCTGAACTCACTGCAGAATACGCCTTCCAAGACTTCAAGCTTCAGCCACTTCACCCCTCCATGGTGGCCACAGCGGACATCTTCATCAGCCTCAATCTCGCCTCGTGCTCGGGAGTCCAAGCAGAGGGTCCAATTGGACCCATTCTGGGAGCAGAAGACCTGGATCTTGAGCCACCACTTATGTAATGTTTCTGCTGCTACTGGAAAATGCAGGACTTGTCTGGCTCACCCAGATACACCAAGGAAGCAGATACTAAGACTAAGGACTCTAAAGCACATTGCCAGACCAGTGATAAATGGATAGGATCATGGATAATGGCATTGGCATACCTTGCCTGGAGCCTTCCGCTGCTGAACTTACGAGTCCTTGAACCCCACTCCTGGTTGCAAGTAAGTCTTGGGGATAATATCCCAATATAACCCCTATATCACCTCAATATACCATAGTAGTTTCCATTTTCTTGTCCATAATCTCAATATTACCCCTAGGAGTTTTTGTTATCTTGAGGAAGGTGCGGGCCCGCCTTGAAGTGGACACCCTTAGGCGTGAGGTTGAGGCTGAAGGAGAAGCCCGTCAGATAGATAGACACAAAAGGCAGCATCCACGTGATCCATCCGTCTGCAATTGTTGTTTCTGAAAGAGAGACCTCAGGCATGCAGTTCAAGATTCACTCTGTAGTACATGTACACCGCAGAAAGGCACTCACTGAAAAACAGTCCTTTGACAAAAACCGGTATATTCGCTGCATTAAAAGGGATCCGGTAATGGGGTTCGGATATCATTTTGTCTACAACGGGCTACCTTGTTATGCGCAATGTCCATGATGTCAATAGCCTTGGTTATTGATCTCCAATCCTTCCCAGCTGGTCCGCAGAGCACAGCAACATGGGAGGAAAAGCCAAAATGGTCTGTGTCACAGGGATCCCTGTCATCATACCGCAAAGCATAGAGGCAATCGCCTGTTGCTCTTCTTCGGTACGCATGAATTTCACCCATGGCATAGGCTTTGAAAAGACGCTCTGTGCCCAACTCCTCGGGCGTGAGCTCTTGACCGCCTCCCCAACCTGACATCAGTTCCAGAAGGTCAGATCCGTTCAAGCACAGGGCCTCGCTGGCGAGGATCTCATGGACGAGATGGACTGAAAGTGATGGCCGCGACTTGAGTGCCTTCTTCGGGAAGAAGAGGATCAACTCCAAAGCGTGCCTCCGCAATTCTGCGTTCTGAAATCGGTCTGCTAGCTCGAAGACCCTGCAAGCGCTCTTGCGATTCAACTTCTTCTTGGCGGCCTTGGTACAGAGCTTGTGCAGCTGGTCCACTGCGTATTTGTCTGAAAGCCTGGCCAGCTCTAGTACCTCTCCCAGGCTGCCCTCCACACTGCCGAAGTGTAAGAAGCGCAGGAAAGCTTCCACAGTAGCAGCAGAGAAGTCCTTGATGGTCACCTGGGATGTGGCGCCTTCTACAAAGCTATCTGGCCTGACCATCTGCTCCAGTACCGGCGAAGCTCTACCGAGAATGATGGAGGAGACTTTGAAGACGGTACGCGTGATATCAGCCTGAGGTCCCTTGCCGTGCTCCTCCACCACAATGGTGAAGTCACCCTGGCCCCAGCTGTGATACAGAACGTCCTGTGCAAATCCGGCAAAGCCGGTATCACTGACTGTGATTGGCGGCATGGCCTGCCTACTGGCCCGAAGTGGACAATCCAAAATTCCGTGTGTTTGGCATCTAGAAAGATAGGGCTCAGGAGAGGTTGGATTAGTGCGAAGCACGGATTTGAGTGAAGCAAAGGTCTGGGGTGAAGCAAATACTTTGCCTTACTTCATGTGGTTGGGCTATTGGGCTTCCAGATCTTGCATGCCCTATATCATGTTTCAGGACTGAAGCTAGTCCGGAATGATGCTGTAAAGCAGTGTGATTGGGCTTGCGGCTGAGGAGCGGGACATTGGAAGCAACTGCACCCTTTTGGGCAAGCACACGTGGTTTCTCTTCAAGGGCAGAAAAACCCTTGATGAGATATGTAAATTTCATCTTCTACTGCGCCATGGTTGGGACATGTTGGGACCACCTTCTGGAAATTATGCTCTTTCTTTTGCGGGTCAATTTGCAGATCTGCCGGGGGCAGCACACAACTAAGTTTGGGCAGGGCGCGGGATGGCCGAGAATAATTGCATGCCTCTGGGATACCTTAGGATATAGCTGGTTTGCCTACGCCGGAGAAGTCACCTCCACAAAGCCTGAACTGTAGACCGTGAATCTGCAGGTCCCATAGTGCAAGCGCCATGGGGCAAGACTGGGAAGATCTTGGAAGGCGTCCGCTGATGCCAGCAAAGGAAGAGGCCCACGAAGGCAAAATACCTTCACGCGTATGACTTTTGCAGTTTGCAGGAGCTTGGATCTTGTCGTGCGGAACGTGAAGCGGTGCGGCATTGACGCATTGGTAGGATTATGAGATGGAACGTGGTAGATAAATTCAACCATGCTGGGCCGGGAACAATGGGCGCTTTTAGTGGGCACTACTTTCTGGTGCAAGCTTGGCTCATCAACACACAAGACTCAAGAATGTCAGCAGACTTAGGGCAGATAGGACGGAGGTCTGGAGTGAGCATGGTTTAGGATCCACGGATTTTGTCATCAGGGGTCTGAGAAGGAGTGTCTACCTGAAAATTGCAAGGATCCCAAGACTTGCCCTCCGCCTCCAACCATAGCTACCACAGCAGCCTTGGAATGCCCTAATACTTTTTGTCTACATTGAGCCTACATCCTAAGGCAAAAATCCCTGCCTTGGGGTACTCAGGTACATATCGTAGGCCTGCTCACTGGCTGCCTCCATGGGAACTGGCTTGCCGGTGTAGTGCTGAGAGCTTTCTCATTATCTTACTGAGGTGTTAGTAGGGAATGGAGTAATATATCATTCAGGGTTTCTATACTAACCACCAGTAGGTTATTGCAGGGGTGAGGCCTGGTTTTGAGGGAGACTCACGGACTGAGATCCTAGGCTGACGGCGTTCAAACTTCAGGCCACCCTTTGGCTTGCAGGGCATTCTGTACTACGATACCGCCGGTGAACGTCTGGCATACCTGACATAAATACTTCTCAAGCTGGGAATTGCCAGAGAACTCTACCCCAAAAATCACCTGAAGGTTTCCAGAAGAGTGAATAGCCCCAAGGTATGTTGGCAAGCTCTTGGCACGTCTCCGCAGCATGACCAAAGCAAGAAGCCTTACAAGCACGGCATACGTTCAAGGATACTGCTTGGCTGCAAAGATAGAAACCGACGAAATGCTCAGCTTTCCCAAAGTCTGCATCCCCCGGCAGAGAATTTGTTGCTCAGCTGTTGCTCAGCTACCTCCTGCATGGAGTTAACAGACTTTTGTCAACCGTTCAACCCCAGCTCCCAAGTCTGTTTGAGCCTGGTGTTCAGCCACGGAATCCACCAGTGGATTCCTGCATCGGTTGCGAGAAGGCTGGGAGTGCGGTTGCAAATGTGCTTAAATCATCTTGCATCCAAATCAAAGTTGGGAAAGGAAGCCGGGAAAAGAAGATCTTCCTTTTATTCAGATCTCAGTGCGGCCTCCAGGTGAGGGACTTCTGTCTCATATTGGCGACTACCGGCCGATTTCTGGTGCACACCTCAGATTAAACCTGGGAGCCTCAACCTTCTTTGAGCTGGACCTTTCGCGCATGGACGAAGCCCACCACATTGCTGTAAAGCATGAGTGCCCGCAGCAGAATATTGACAACGCTGACCTTCTGAAGTACATCGCAAGTTTTCCAACATCCCAAGTGCCTTCACCTGAAGTCTGATTGCTTGATTCGACGCCGGAATGCAAAGCGGCTACCGGCACCTTACGGCTACGCCCTGCCACCTTCACCATGAAGGGCCCCTGCCACCTCATACGCAGCACATCACCCATCTCAAGCAGATCACCTCTTGTGTTCTCATTCAATCTTTGTCAACCCGGCTGAAGCCTACAACCCCGTCTGCCAGGCCGGTCCCTGTCTTCCGGTGCTTCAGGAAGAGGCCACGGATGCGGGCGGACCAGGGCGAGAAGTAGTTGAACCTCTGCCAACCACGGGGGTGTCAAGGGGATATTAGCTGTGAGGTTTATGCATCGAAAATCCTGAAATAACCACCTATGTCGAGCCGACGCGTTTTGGAAGAAGCTTAAATGTGCCACTTGCATGGCTCGAACTCAACAGCAGCTTATTTAAATGCTTGGGTGCGCTTGAAGGCTCTCTAAGACCCTGCCGTACACAGTAGCATGGCGAAAGCAAAGAAGCCTCAAACTGAATGCCAAAATCGCGGAAACGGTTTTCAGCAGGACCCCCCTCAAAAACCCAACAGTTCTACTCAGTCTATAAATTGCAGTGTTTGTTCATTGCTTCAAACTTGGTTATTGGTAACCCCCATTGGATGGCAGGCAATTGAAAGGCAAGGAGCTGCATCAATGCCCAGCAAACCCCCGCTGCGACCTTTGCAGTTCGCATTGATCTCTGCAAGTTGTGTTTTAGCATACTTTCCCAATGCAGTATCTTTCCTGCGAACGAGAACCGCTCAACCAAAATTGCAGGGTCCCAAAGTCAGTTTATCACTACTACTACTACTACTACTACTACTACTCTACTACTACTACTACTACTACGACGACGACGACGACGACGACGACGGCTACGACGACTGATATTGCGATTATTGTAACTATTGCTATATGGGTGACGGTCACGACTCCTTGCATTAGGCAATGGACGCCACATTGAGGGTGTCGCTTTTCAATATTCCTATCGCTTAACAAGTTTTTTGCACTCAACCTGCAATGGTGTGAATTTCAGCGTGTCGCTTCTTCATGTTCCCATCGCTTTGCAGGGCTTTCACCTGAAAACTCTGGGGTGTCGCTTCTCAATGTTCCCGTCGCTTGACAGCGTGTTTGCTTCCCATGTCCGCTACTGACATAACTCCGTACCAACGAGTATTGACGGTGGCTCTTATGTCGTTATTGGCTCCACCGGACATCATTATCAGAATTGTGGCACAAAGGTCGAGATGCTGCAGCTGGTCCGCCTTCCTACATAATCCCAATAGATACCCTACTGTAATGCACCAGCAATTCCTATATTCCCTTATTCCCTGCTAAAACCCAAATATATACCCCTATGATGTAGTAGCTTCCATTTTCTTGTCCGTGATCCCTGTATAAACCCACTGTTTTCCCTTATTCCCAAGTGAGAGCAAGTTTCTTCGGGCTTTTAAGGCCGTTGGAGTCTACGAACCGTTCATTCTCGGCCAGGTCTTTGGCTTTGAGGTGGCTTGAGGCTTGCAACTCCACTAAACACACAGACTTCGACTTTGCGCACGCTACGCCAGAAGCCTCGTAAGCACCCCTTTAGAAGTAGAGCCGTGCGAATATCGAATGTAAGCCCCTCCAGCCACAGGAAAGAACTACCTCCTGCTCCCAACCGAAACATGGCGACCCCTTCTTCAGAACTTGAAAGACTTGCAGTCTCACAGCGTCCCCTATTCAAAACCCATGCTGACATATGCTGACCCTATACTCTCCTGGATTTGCCAATTCATATCATGTCAGACAGTTCCACGAAGTTGCCACCCCTATGGAGACGAAGACAGCCACGCGCAGGAGGCAAAACCTGCATCGCAGCGTTTTGACACTGAGACGCTCGGGGGGAGCCGGGGGATGAGAGGAAGAGATCACCAATCTCCCAGTTAAAAACACAATAAAATGGACAGTCAGGGAACTTCTGAAACACCCACGCTAACCCCCGCCAGACAATAGAAAACTTCAACACGGCGTACTTCAAGCATGCTTTTTTCAGCGAAATTGGCTGGGAAGTAGTTGGCAAATCATCCCTAGAACCCTCCAAGAAGACCCCAGCCTCAGCGCGCTCATGTTCGGAGCACGGCGACGCCGGTAGAGGTCGCAAAGCTCTAAAACCTGTCAGACGTGGGGAAGGCCCTTTTGAGCGTGAGATGTGGCTTCAGCATTAGATTTTCCAGTGCCCACTTCCATCTAAGTTAATGACAAGGCAACGATAGAACTTCCAGATGTGACCTTTTTGGCTTCAAGGTCTCCAGGGGAAACCTTCTGAGCAAGCAATCTGGACAAATTGGTGCTAGAAACTGTGCAGACTTTTGCGTGCACAATTCGTAACAGGGCACTGAATATTCTGGGGCACCAACTTAGGACACTGGCCAGTTTTGGAAACTGCTTCAGACATGTCCAGGCATGCGCTGCAGTTCTGTGAGTTGGACTTGTATCCAGACAACGTCTTCATACCGATGCTCAGACCTGCTACTTCCATAGTCAGAGATCCGTGGTGCGTCTGCCCCCCCAACTCTTCATGCGCCTGAAAGCCGAGGAAGACGGCCATCGACGGCATCTGCTCGATCGACCGGAAAGGTGTCCTTCCACGTCTCATGATCTGCATGATCTGGGGAGGAACAGAAGTGCTACATGCCCGTACTCCATTTCCTACTCGACTTTTTTGCAACGTATCAGCGTGTCCTCAGGTGTTCCCTAGGAGGCCTTACCGAAAGGGTTGCGAATTACTTGGACGAAGGTTCGCATACATTCGCCTGGCAAAGGATTTCAACAGCCGCGGAAGGCCAAGTTCTGAGGGCTTGCCACTTGACTACCTGCTGACTACCGGCTCAACACATGTGCCGCTCCAGGCTCCCAAAATGAAGGGCCTCAGTATTTTGAGAATAGACAGGAACCCCAGTTTTGTCCCGTACCCCCTCTTGCTGAGCAGCAGCAGTCCAGCCAACCACAGGCACCAATGTGGCAAGCCAGCTGCCCAAAGCATACCTCAGGCGCGGAATACCAGGCATAGACCTACTAGGGCTTAGATAGTGTGATATGGCGACGTCTATCCACAGACTATCTAGGGATTAGATCCTACAGAGGGAAGGCTACCAGCCCGGTAGTACACAGCAGCAAGTAATCCCTGCATACCCCCAAAAGCTTGGACAAACAGAAACAAACAGCTGGCAAGCAGAAAGCCTGGATGGGAAGAAGTGAATCCATTCCCTAGATTCCCAACTCGGCCCCAAAACGAATGCCAGAGAGCAATAAAGAACCTGAAATCTCCAGCCAGGGGCCATATCGAGTAGGCGCGGTATAGCCCTGTGTTGTACTTCCCGAAGCCCACGAGAACTGCTGCGTGAAGGCCAATAAGGTTGTTGACCTCACTTCTGTGGGCAATCTGACAAACTTGTGTGGGAGGCACGTCTCGGACCACACACCTTCAAGGTACCCAGGTACCCTTACACCCTCACAGTCGCCTATGTTTTACCGAAGTTGTTAGGGGGGCCTGGCCTGAGCTGCACATGCTGCACCAAATACGGAAAGGCCTATCCAAACTATGGATCTCACCATGCCCAGACCAACAAATTCCAAACTGCTCTCCTACCCCCAGCTATCCCAAGGCTCCCGTCAAGTCTATTTCAACAAGCCCGGCAAAACATCCTTCTTGCCGAAAGGCAAAAATGTATCCGCCCCAGGTGGCGACGGCACTGGCCTGGGTACTCGGGACCAAAGACAACATCAGCTTGAAGTTTCCCGGGATCAGGGCTTTGGGACATGTGTCCCTTTCTGACAAGTGCTGGGTACGGGTTCCATGCTAAGGGGATAGCGTTGCTTTTGTGTTGCGGCTAGGCTAGAAGGGAAGGAGAGGGTTGCGGCCCTCGAGGTCAAACTTGGATGTTGCAGGAGGGAAATCATGAAAGCCAAGTTTCTAGTTTCTAGTTGGCCATGCAAGTCTGCACAATTCTGGCATGAACCTGTGTTGCCGCAGCCAAACCTGGGCTTCACGCGTAGGCCAGGGCTGCCGGTACTGCCCAGGGCCAGGAGCTGGGATACCGGACGGAGCGGCACCAAAGCCTTAACCAGCCAAGGGTTGGAAGCGCGGGAGCGAAAGTGTAAGTCTTGAAGTTCTGGAGGTGGGATGCAGTTCAGCTTAATTCCAGGGAGCGAACCTGTATGGAGATTGGGTAGTGCCATGAAGACCGATGGCCGAGAAACCAAAAGGCCGTGCAGAAAGCCGCCATGGCCACGCACTCATTGTCAAACTCTCCTCCAGTTCAATGGATTCAAACGCCAAGCTGCCTCAGACTTGGATGGTCCAGACGCACAGCACGCCCCGCCACAAGCACCTACCCCCTTCACCACCTAAATGTTTTGCTGCCGGGGCGGTGGGACCAAGCGAGTCCTCGAACGATCCGACTCGCGTTCCTCTTGAAAACTTTGGGTGCCCCAAGTGTCCAACCCCTGTCCTGTCATAGAGCGCATGAGGTGCGCAGGGATAATTGCCATGACCAGAGCTGCAGCAACGCCAGCACCAGAGCTTTCCGACACCTGGACGCACCAGGAAGCGAGGGCTCTCCATTTCCCAAATCCAAAAGCTTGCGTCAGTTGGGCATGTTACAATATGAAGCGAACGAATGACCTCTACTCTTTAGACAACAAGACCCAGCAACAACAGCAAGAGTACCAAATGACACACACATCGAAATTGCAGCTGCATGTCACCCGGAAAGACAAAGAAATGTAAACGATCCCAGGAGGATCCTATGGAGGCTTCATTAGCATGCAGGATGTAGCCTGACCTGTGTCGAAGAGAATCCAACATGCTATTCGACCCAATCCGTGCCAAGAACGCGGCCTCCCAGGTCAGCAGGAAAATGGAGAAGGTGGCCACGGCAGCGAGCCTTATGATTCAATTGGGTTGCAATTCTTTGGGCTCTTGTTAGCTGAAGTTGCAGAGGGCGCTCCGCAAAGGCTCCGCGGGATGCAGGACTTTCAAGTTGACCGAACGGCTCTCACCCATCCAAATGTGGGGGCAGCAAGTTGCAGCATCTTACTATGCTTGGATCGGGCAGAACATCAATTTCCAGCGAGGCCAAGCCTGGAAGATACGAGCCATGAAGACATCAGGGGTTTGCTAGGAGACCCAACCCCCCAGAACCACGAACTCAGGACGCGACCATGCTGGGACCATGACACAGACCTGGCACACAAGGACTGTTGCGGCCAAAGCCTCATGGTAAACCCAACTCCAATCCATGGGGCTGCTAAAAAAAACATGTTGCATCAGAGCACACTGAAGCCCATATATGATTGCTACGCTGACGAACAGCTGGGAACCCAGCATCATTGACACTCATCGGCGGGCCCAGTTGTAGTTTGCCGTGGCCTTGGCATTGAGTGGTTGCTGAGGGCCTAACAGCGGCTGAAGGGAAATGGGTTTGTCTTCGCCTCGCAACATCACGGCTAAGTTTGGGCTACCCAACAAAAAAAGCTTCGTTAAACAACCCCTGAAAATTGATTCCGACTCCATCTAAAGGGTGCTGACCCCCCCCCCCCTCCCCTCCCCCAAAAAAACTGTTTGCAGCTGGCGAGCCGGGAAGGAACGACTGATAACCCGCCGGGATCAGCTTCGCAGCTGCCTCTGGGAGCTGGAGCTCCATAGCTGGCTTCCTCAAGGCATCTTTCTGAGGTCTGCATCATCAACCAGATTATAGTATGGTAGAATATGATCTCAAAGAGTATGGCCTAAAGAGGCTTAAATATGTGGGTAAGGGTGCACATGTGGGCTATTCCCAAAATTCTGGACTTTTTGGGCGTGCCAACAATGAAAGCAATGGAGCAGTACCCCTGTAGCTGTGGTGATATAGATTGGGGCTTGACTTCTGCTGACACTTCACACATGGAGCTTATGTATCGGATCTTCCCCGAGGTTACACAGTGGCTTGCAGGAAAATTTATTGGCACTGCGTCTAAGCTTCATATGCTAAAGGGAATTGCACACATGTGAACTAGTTCAGCGTAATAGGCAATGTTGAAAGCAGCACCGGAGGATTTCTCTCACGTTTCCTTCCTGTGGTATGGGATCTTTGCGGTGTTGCTTCGAGTACCTCAAGGCTCAAGCTTGAGAAATCCAGAAGTGTGGATTCTAGCAGCTTCCAAGGACGAGCTAGCTTGCTCAAGGACGGATGCTGTTGAGGCAGATCTCGTAGCTAACCCTTGCGCCGCACACTGATATGGGCTAGCGCCCAGGCACTAACTGAGGATTGGTCAAAGGCGATCCAGTGCTGGCGCCAAGCGTGAGTCCTTCAGCCTTTTGCCAAGCCAAGCAGCGGGAGCATCTTCAGTGCCCGCCAGATCCAAACCTTGCGTTCGCTCAATCGAAGGCTTAGCTTTCCTGGAACTATTTCGGGTCCAAAGCCCATGCCGTGTAATTCTAAGCTTTGAAGTTTGAGGTGTGGAACTCGACGTAAGGCTCTGCTGAAAGGTTCTTGGATTTTCTCGCACTTCTGCAGTGGCTTCTGCCACTAAACAGTGACTGAATGACCCTTTGCTAGAATTGTGGTGTAAAGATGGGCTATAACAAGGAGTCCAGAGAGCTAGTTACTTAAGTCAGTGCATGGAGACCCTCCGCTGCACGGCCTGACCCCAGCACATGCCAAACTTGGAGCAACCCAATTCATGTCTGATTTTTTGTGTATTTCATCTGGGCTGGACACATGCCTGCGTGGCAACTACTAACACTTGCGACAACAAAAGCTGGTATTGGCTGTCATGCGTACTGATACCAGTCTCCCAAGTGACTCCAACAGCATGGTTGCAACTAACGTTGGCGCTCGCACTCGTGCTCAGGGCGTCGCGGACAGAATCTGCATGCCTGGATAGATCGTCGTCCTTCGGTGGCAGGATAAGAACAGCCGCATTCAGCTCAATTGTTGGGCCGCAACACTGTCATCACCATCATAATCATCATCATCCTCCAACGAGTCCAAGCCTGAGCCAACAAAGAGTAGTCAATACCCTCATGGCAGATTAAGGAGGCGGAGTTGTCATCTTCCTACGTGAAGCGCTGTCCCGATCGGTCGCCCGAGTGGATACCAACCTTGGTTCAGTGCAAGCAGTAGAAACAGCAAATAAAGTGATCCTGGAATTGTCCAGAATGCTTTGCACTGTGCTTTCGGATTCGAATGAGATTATGCAAGCCATTTGGAGGTTTCCTTCTGACACATCTGCACTTGTATCCTGACTTTGGGTCCCTGGAAGCTCAGTTGCAACTAGCAATGGGCTTCGCAGGTTGTCACTGACATCTGATGGTGGACATCCACAAAAGAGCCGTGGCATCGCTTCTACGGCAGCACGGAACTTCAACACAATCTGCATCACGCTACCAAAGTCCATGTGACTGCTAATGCTTGAAGAATGGTCTGCCCAAACCGCCCAAGGTCCCATTGCTTGGGCGGAGGTAACGGGTTCAGGTTTACTGCATCCACACAGCCACTCCCATGTCCGAAATGGCATGAAGCACACCTTCCTTTTGCGCCCGCGAGTACATAACTGCATAAGTACATAACTGCAAGCTGGAAGAACGGGAAGAATATGAACTGCTCAAAGACACCCAAACCCATTGCACGCAGTCGCCGTTGACACTAGGCTTACGTGGCAACGCACCTCAACCCAAGCAATACACCTTGTCTTTCACAGTCAACGCGCCTGCCACCATCTGAAATGCGGATGGTGAGCTCATGTAGTCGTACCAGTGGAAGAAGGCATGCCAGCCATGTTTTGCCAGATACTTTGTGGCACGGGTGTTAAACCTGAGATGCAGGGCTGACTGCCTGATTCAATCAAATAGTCACCCACATGGCGCGAAAGTCTCATGGATTTTTTCGCTGTGCTGGCGATCTGGATTCATGGAATCAACTGCTGCAGCCCTGGATCCAAACATTTCAGCATTTCTGCAATCGCATCCTTAAGATTCCTGAAGCGCATGTCCCAGACATGACCTCTACGCGATAATCAACACATCTCACAAGCAGAGGACCACGGATCGAACTCGTGGATCAAGTAGCCATACTTCCTTCGGTTGGCGGCTGGGCGCTATCTGGCTTCCACATCCCTACCCACAAACTAAACAACTAAAGTCAGACGTTGGTCATCAGCTTACTGTGCTACCTGCAGGCCTCGAAAGAAACAGCCATGTTACTTGCGTCACTTTCCGCGGGATAACTGGTCGTAGTGATCATTCGCCAATGCTACAGAGATGTAAGCCAAGTAGCTGCACTGAAATTAGGCGGATCCGATAGGACCAGAGGCAGGCGCCGGCCAGGATGACGGCCTGGGACTGCAGGCATGCTACAAAGCTCACCCTGCCAGATGTGGACACCCCACCAATAACGTGCCCCCGCCGCTGCCCTGAGCATGTATGAGGACTGGTTTGGGGCCGATTGTGACTCCACCGTCGAGGGCTCAGAGCGTACTGTGGACGAAGCTTCCTCGGAGTAGCTTGATGAAGGCTGAGTTCTCCCACGCAAAGAAAAATGTCGGAAGGCGGGCCCATTCTGATTGCGTGTAGCGGATCGCTCTCGATCTGTGCATATCTGTGCATGCTAACAGTCAGTTGGAACTTGAGACATGCATGTTGCCCAATTGGCTTGCGGCTTTGATGGTTGCCGTTTAGGGCTTGAGGCTGGACATCGTTTTCGAAAGGCTACCAGGAGATGTCAAGAGTTGATGCTGCAGGAGTTGCAGAAGCAAGTAGGAGTGGAACGAATCAGTTTGGTTGATTTATAATATGCTTTTTGGGACGCGAGTTCTACAAACAGCTGGTCGTGTTCGCACTGCCAAGCAGAGTGTTTTTGTCCACATGAGGGCCCTCAAACTGCTTGCTGGAAACCGGCAGAGCTCCATGTCCAAAGCATCCCACAGGGGGACCTTCACCGAAAGCTGCCCAACTTACACACCCTCAAGCCCTATATGCTACCTAAATCATGCGCATTGCTTCAAATCCCACACACTTTTTTTCCTAGACCCGCGGCCTTTGCAAAGCCGACAATAAGATCCAGCAGGCCGCGCAGCAACCTCGAGAATCTGCGAGCTCTACCAGTACAGAGAAACAAACTCTCACCGTGGAAAAACGGCGTGATTCTCACACGAACGAGATGACAAGCTCATGCAGCATCCGCCATACTTGTACCACTCTCAAGCATCGAGAGCCCACAGATCCACGAGTCTGATTCGCTGATGAATGGGAAAACGGAGTCCTCTTCCTTCGTGTGAAGTTGTTCATCCATTTCGCCATTTGGCAACATGAAAACTGTGTGGCCTGCCTAATAAAAATTCAAAACCTCCGAAAAAAACGTGCGGCCATGTGGTCCGCAAGTCCAAGTCTGCTAACCCAAAGGCCGCCGTCAAGGAGGATCCTTCTGCAGGCCCACCACCCCTAGTAGATGCTTTGCCTTGCCTCAGTTATTACCTCACAACGCGGAAGTTTTGTCCCTGTCCCAAGGCCGCAAAGGAAAGACACATCTGGTTGAGACCTCCCGTACCATGCTGCCCATGAGCCGTTGCGCAGCGGCCATCTGGGAGTGCTTGGGACCTAGTAGCCTAAAAGTTGTGCTTCCTGCACTTATCGTTGCAAAGTCTACCTTGTGGTACCTCTTGGAGCCCAGGTTTGTCAGCTATCAGGTAGACGGTTTGATTGGTCCAGCCCCGAAGGGCGTGCGGCTAGCGAATCTGTAGGAAATTTGCACGCCCCAAGTAAATCCACAGTGTAGGAAATCCTCTGACCCTACCTAAATCGCGATGAACCATGTTGCCCGAATTGTTATTACATCCTCTTGCCTTGAGAGACAAATATCGAGCCAACCCCCGGCCCTAGGCTGCGAGCCATAGCCGGCCACGGGGAGTTGATTCATAACTGCAAAAATGCTAGTAGCAATCAGGGCACTCGCACCCGTAGCACCGTAACATGCACAATCATAGGACAAAGAATGATACAGCTCATGAAATGCACGCAGTCACAGTGAGTTGTTTGCTTGTAGCTCAGGCTCTGCGCAAACACAACAACCCTGTTGATAACCACCGACATGATACAGCAAAGGAACGCATCAACCTCCAATTGGCACAAGCAAAGTGGCCGCTGCCTACAAACCTGGCCAGGTCCTTGGGCAACACCATGGGGTTCACGCAGAAGGCCAGCAGGACGTGGTACATGGCCAATGCCGCCACCCACCTGGCTAGAAACTCTATCAGAGGCTGCGGGCTTCCTCATGTCAGAGGCATTATGGGCAAGAATGCAAGCGGGGTCTTTCAGGCTTGCATTATGCTAAGTCCAGCGTAGCATGCCGGCATGTCCAGCGCT